CTAAGATATCCTAAAATAAAGTCTAAGATATTCTAAAACAAAGTCTAAGATATCCTAAAATACAGTCTAAGATATCTTCAAATACAATCTAAGATATTCTAAAACAAAGTCTAAGATATCCTAAAATACAGTTTAATATATCCTAAAATACAGTCTTAGATATTCTAAAACAAAGTCTAATATATCCTAAAATACAGTCTTAGATATTCTAGAATAAAGTCTAAGTTATCCTAAAATAAAGTCTAAGATATCCTACAATCTTAAAATTAAGTCTTAGATAACACAAAATACAGCCTAAGATATCCTGTACAATTAAAAAATCTGGCTAGATTTGTTTGAAATTGGAGATATTAATACAAAAAATGAACTTCTTCTTCATGAACGATTTAAGCCTTGGATTTAATTAATATGAATTTCTGAAGTAGAAGCTCTCGGTTACCTTGTTTACAGTCAACTGAAATATAACCATCTTTACAACTGCCTTCACAACTACCATTAATATTATTACATGGTGATGTTTTTACTAAACAATTTCTTTCTGAACAATTTTCTGAACATTGATCTCCATATGTTCCCTTCGTACAAGCTAAAGAATATATAAGGTTTAGTTTTGTCACTTCAGTTATTGGTTTGTGTTATCTCATGATAAGATCTTGTATCAAAAAGGTTACTGAAAAGCGGTAAACTTACCAAAGGATGCAACACAAAAAATTCGGTCTTCGGCGCTCATAAAAGAAAAAAATGTTGAAATATCAGATATTCTACCTTATTGCGTGAAATCGATTTGTCTTGGCAAACGTCATCAAATGTATTTACTCTCCGGAACATGATCGTTGTATATTACCTTGAGTACAATCTAGAATTGTTGGACTATAACCCACAGAACATCCACCAATACATTCTCCTGTCACATGATCACACATTGAATTCTTCAGACATTTTCTGATATTACAGTTCTTCTGACAACCAGCACCATAGAAACCATCAGGACATTCTAATGTATAAAACAAAAAAGTATATGTAAAACGTTTATCAATGAATTCTATCACATGGATTTCCTCAAATTTGATGATTAATTTGCAAGCTCAAGAATCTTATTTATAACCTGAGTTACTTACCTACTGTACAATCATCTTCTTTATAACCTGGTTTACTTACCTACTGTATAACCATGTTCTATATAACCTGGTTTACTTACCTACTGTACAATCATCTTCTTCATAACCGTGTTTACTTACCTACTGTACAATCATCTTCTTCATAACCTTGTTTACTTATCTACTGTACAATCATCTTCTCTATAACCTGGTTTACTTACCTCGAGTACAATCATCTTCTTTATAACCTGGTTTACTTACCTACTGTACAATCATCTCCTCTATAACCTTACCTACTGCACAGTCATCTCCTCTATAATCTGGTTTACTTACTTACTGTACAATCATCTTCTTTATAACCTGGTTTACATACCTACTGTACAGTCATCTTCGATATAACCTGGTTTACTTACCTAATGTACAATCATCTTCTCTATAAACTGGTTTACTTACCTAATGTACAATCATCTCTCTATAAC